ATTACAACATGAACAGTGTGGAAGTAAGAGCCAAAAGTGAAATGATGCTGCTTAATACTTTGTATAATTTTGAGCATTTAAAAGTATTAGTTGGATTAAGTTCAGCTCGATCATTTGGACCGGGTGTTAAATTAAGCAGCGAAAATAATGAGATATCGTTCGGTATATGTGATTGGATCCAATTCATCGATGAACTTAATCGTAAATATAATCAGTTTTTCCTGATGCCTCTGCAATGCTATTGTGAAGATGAACCTCCAGAATGTTGTGAATTGTTAGCAATTGAAACTCAAGCGACAGATCAACTTAAATGGCTCAATGTTAAGAAACTTGGTGTTACTTTGCAGATATTTGAAAAAGATGTTAAAAATCTTATTGAAGGAAATGAAAAGTTAATTTTACCACGCATTCGTTTTCTCGAAGGACTGAGATTTTTAGATTACTATTGTAATGCGTTAAAAATTGCTACTTCATTCAAAAACGATTTACAACCAATAGACATTTTATATTCATTTTGTGAGGCTTCTTGTGATACTAGTATTGTAAGTTTAGCATTAAGGGAATATTTGTATTATTATAAGGAAGATACAATTAGTGAATTAAATAGCAGTATTTTTGAATAAAGAATTAAAACATTTATTTCTATTTATTATACCAAGGTAGTGGGGGTGACTAAGAATATTATTTATATTGGCTTTTGGAGCGAAAGACATTTATTTCATCGATGACTTCCATACGGTGTAGATTAGAAGAGTTGTACGAAAAAATACAAAAGTTAAAAGCCGATATACAGTGGTACGAAGATAGAACTGCAATTGAAAAACGATTTGCAGAGTTTAATTTGTCAGAAAGAAAGTTACCAAAAACAACACAATACCCGTTAAAAAGAATTCAACCGACAAGATGCCTCCACTAACAACCTCATTCATCATCCTTACAGCTATTGTTAACAATGTCCTTTATACAAACGTTCCAAACAACGTTAAGAACCAGGCGATATGTTTTAATGATGAAAAAACTGATTGTAATCGACCGAACTGGACTCTAATGGATCATGAAGTGGTGAATTATGGACAGCTTCCAGTATTTTTCAAAGCGATACCAAAATCAGGAGGAGCATTCTATAAGATCAAGCTAATATCCCCAAATAACACCGAAAGTGATTCAAAATGGTACAAAACTAATAATGATGACATCGATCAATATGGTTTATCGATTATACTCTTAAGTATTATATTCGTAATAAATGCCTTTATAGCGATTAATATCATTAAAAAATTTCTTGTAAATCGTAAATGCGAATCATCTTGCATTAAAATAAATATGTAAAACTGTTAAAATAAAACTAAAATAAAACTTTTAATCTTTTATTAAAAAAAAAATCCAATTTATATAGGTAATATTTTGTTACACAGCCATTGACGGAGGTGATCCACATTTATCGAGGAGCAGGAAAATAGTCCAGTAGCGTGGCAGTTGTATTCATGTGGAGCAAAGCCTCCAGTGGAGTATGGAGAATCATCAAACTTGCAAACATCAATAATTATGGGACAGACGTCAAGCATATAACATTTGTATCTTAAAAATTCTGCTTGTTGTTCTCCGCGAACGTAGATGTAGTCAGCTGCATACAACAACTTAGATTCCAGTATTTTATTTATTTTTGAATATTTAACATCTCCATTAGAATACCGAAGACCATGCACGTTTTTCTCCAAGTACACAGCAGTCTTCTTATCTTGATTACTTAATGTAGCAAACGGTTGTGGAGGTTTAAATATATAATGGCAATGTTTAAAGCCAATTTCAATGCTAAGTTCTTTGGGAACAAACCACCCATCTACGGTGAATCCTTGAATGTCAACTAATGCGATCCTCATGATGGCTGATAGTATACTGAATTGGATATGATTGAATAAGTCAAGTTAAATGATATTTTTGATAACTTCAGTTAGAGGAAAGTATTCGAGTAGACTGTCGTGGACAATTAAACAGTACGCTCGAGTGCCTGCAGGAAAACCTTCATCTGCTTCGATTTCCAACTTAATATCAACGGTTCCCGATCTAAATGACGTATCATCCTGTTTGGAGCAGTCGAAAGTAAACAAAGCATATTTTTTAAAAGCATTATAATCCAAGATTGGATGTTTTGTTGACGAATGAGTATAACTGGGAAAGAATTTGGTATAGTTGTAGTGAGCTATAGCATAATCATTTTTCGCAAAATCCAATTGCATTCTCTCGTTAGGCCAATATTCACCATTAATAACCACTCGTACGCTGGACACCTTAATGTTATCGAATAACGTTGGATTGGCGTGAATGTCATCTCGTTTAGAAGTTTGAAAAGCTACAATGACATAGCGTGGACGTTCAACAGCTGAAGTTGTCTTTACACTCCATATCTCACGTCGGGATCCAGCCGTAAGTGAAGGTAGTTCATTAAGTTCCCATTTACGGAAAGGTATGGTTATCGGCGTATTATTCTTAATCGGAGTCATTAGGTCAATTTTCACATCGTCATTCGGAAAGACATGTTTGACCTTCAGTTCCATGCTGGTAACAGTTAAAGACACTGTTGTTGTTGTTGTGGCATTAGGTTCTTCTACTAAAATACTGTCTCTATCATTACGTGCTCGAACAAATCGAAACACTTGACGACCATAGGTTAATTTATTGTAATCGTTGAAAATGTTGAAAATATGTTTTATCGGAATCAGTAAACTAAAGCTGTCTCCCGATAAATGTGGATTATTGGGATAGTTCCATCCTGCAGTACTGAGATACTTGGAATCGTCAGGAGTGTAACACAACAAACTGCGAGTAGTGCTAACTACACCAGGATCTCGAACTATTTCCATGTCGTGTGAACTTTGGATGTATGTACATGTATCAAACAAGAAGGCTCCAGCATTCGGTGCAAGAGAAACAGTTCCAGTACCCACTTTCTTTATACTTAAATAGTAGTATAGGAAATAGGAAATTAGTAAAGATAATGATGAATTCTAAATGATATAAAAAAGGTTAAGTATTATAAAACTTACTTTTGTATATATAATTGCCGACACTTCACAAACACAGAACTTCTCCGAACGGTACTTTGTATAATTGCTGACGCTGCACAAAACACACAACTTGTCTGAAGGATGATCAGAATTGAACTGACGATATGTAGTGCATCTGCTCTTTATCTAACTGCCTCTCCCACGCTAAAACTATGTTGCGCAATATTTCGTAAGACTATTCATTTATGCATCACATGCCGGGCTTAATTATTAAATACAACGGATTATGCACCTGCTTCCTGCCTCCATGTGAATATATTTTATCTTACATTAAATAATCGAATTGGAATGTGCACGTGTTTCCGGCTATATATCGTGATCGCGTGAGACATTTTTAATAGCCGGCGTATCCGATGATGTCATTATTCTCAGTAGCATTCAACTGATCATGTAAAGTATAAATTGAAAAATAAACGAATTTTTGTTATTATGGTAATCGATAAAATATATACGAGGTAACTCGTAAAATATAAATTGAAAAAATTTAGAAGTTTTACGCTAATGGTTGTAGGTTTTAATTACAAAAAAATACGAGGAAAAATTGCTCTCTTTGTCTGTCATTCGTCTTCTTCTCTTTGTCAATTCATAGAACGCAGTCACCGACCAGCGATTGTACATCGTTCTCATTGGTTACGTTGGACGTGTAGCTTCGTTATTATTGGGGGGGCGTCTTTTCGGGAGGAATGGGGGGACTGGGAACGTCTTTTCGGGGGGAATGGGGGGGACTGGGGCGTCTTTTCGTTAATATTGTGGTACGACTCCACCATTAGTCGATGCACGTCTTTCTCATTGGCCGTTGATGCACACCATTGGCCTCCAACGTCACGAGGATGTCCGCCATTGGTTGAGGACACGTTTCTGTGGCATCATTGGTCGAGAAAAACGTTCTAACGTCACGAGGAGGGTGTTACTATGACACCATTGGTCCCTCATCGCTATACCGCCATTTCTATGTTGTTTATTCAAATTCTAAGCTGTCATTGGTCGCTGGGGGTGTTGCTATTCCCACCACTGACGCTGCTATGTTGCCATTGGTCAACGACACGTTCCGACGTCACGAGGACGTCCTCCATTGGCCAGCAAGCCATTGGGGGACGTTCCTATGCCACCATTGGTCTGCTATTCCCACCACTGACGCTGCTATGCTGTCATTGGTCGACGACACGTTCCGACGTCACGAGGAGGGCGTTACTATGCCACCATTGGCCTGATATTCCCACCACTGACGCTGCTATGCTGTCATTGGTCGACGACACGTTCCGACGTCACGAGGAGGGCGTTACTATGCCACCATTGGCCTGATATTCCCACCACTGACGCTGCTATGCTGTCATTGGTCAACGACACGTTCCGACGTCACGAGGAGGGCGTTACTATGTCACCATTGGTTCCTCATCGCTAGACCGCCATTTCTATGATGTTTATTCAAATTCTGAGCTGTCATTGGTCGCTGGGGGTGTTGCTATTCCCACCACTGACGCTGCTATGCTGCCATTGGTCGACGACACGTTCCGACGTCACGAGAACGTCCACCATTGGTCAGCAAGACATGGGGGGACGTTCCTACGCCACCATTGGCCGAGGGGCGTGGTCTAGAGACACGAGGTACGTTCCTACGTCACCATTGGTCGAGGGGCGTGGCCTCGAGACCCTAGGCACGTTCCTACGTCACGAGGGGGGCGTGGCCTTGGCCCATGAGGATACGTACGCTTGACGATCGACGTGTGACGTCACTTCCGCTCCAGAAGGAACCCTATCTATCTACTTCACCACGGAAGGGTGAAAGTTACCCACCATCAACTGGTCAGGGGTTATCATCTTCCTCATCTTGTTGGTAAAATAACAATTTTTTTTCTACACTTTTCTTGAATTAATTCACTCAATTTTCACTCGTAGTTTATGTGGCAAATTAATGATCCCTGAAACTTTTTTCAGATGGAGAAAGTCAAGCAAAGAGGAAAACACCGCAATCAAGCTGAAAATGAAATAATTCGACGACGGGAGAAAGAAACTCGATACAATGAACTTTGGAATGGTACAGTGAAATATTTTGATCACTGGAACAAGGCTTGCAGCAAATTCGAAGAATGGACATCTCCAAGATATTATAATGAAAATAATAAATTGTTATCGGACATACAGAGCAAGCGACAGAAAGAAGAACAATTAGAAAAACGAAGAGAAAAGTTAAGGAAATTATTTGATGAAGAACGGAGATCATTCGAAATAGAAATGATGGTTCATAAAAGTAGACATTTAGTTGACAGACCTAGAAGAGATAATTTAAAAGTTACAACTGATGCTTTAAAAGGTGTTAATGAAAATATAAAAGCACACGAAGAAGAGAAGAGAAGGCGTGAGGCTGAGCTACAATTATATCATCAATGGAGAAGAAACAATCCACTTGTACGACAATATGAGGCAAAATACCGTTGTAAAGATTTAAAATTAAGTTGGTTAGACCAACAGATAGAAAAACAAATGCAAAAAGAAAAAGAAGAGGAAGAAAATAAATTAATTCTAAAACAACACGAGGAAAAAATTAAACTTGAGAAAGAAACGGAAGAGTTGCAAAAGAAACAGCTTCAAGAGAAAAAAGAACAGCTTAAAAATGATTTAGAAACACAAATGTCCGAATTACGACAAAAGCAACTTATCTGCGAGGATTTGAAATATAAGGAGAGTATTGAAATTAAGCAACAACAGTTATTGGCAGAACTAGAACAAAAATGTAAAGTAGAATATCAACAAAGACGGAATAAAGAATGTGCTTTGGTTAATATTCGGCAGCATAAAAGAAAGCTGCTACAGAGAACTCAGGATATCCAAGAAAACTTAGAGAGGGACAGACAATTAATTTCAAGATTATTGGAGCTAGACCTAGAACAGGCTATTGAAAATGAAACTAAACGACGGGAGACCCAAGAAAGTATAAGGGAGTTTTTAGATATACTAAAACAGCAACAAAAACTAGAGATAGTAAGAAAGAAACGAATGGACTTTTTATTTGATTCAGAGGCTAAAGCTATGTATGAAATGCAAGAAGAATTATGGAAAAAAGAAGAATTGAACAGAAAACTATTAGTAACAGAGGTTATTGAATCATTAAAAAAACAAATAGCAACTAATTTGGATAAAAATAAGGAAAATCAAAGATATATTTTGCAAGAACGTGAAGAAATGACGAAAAAAATAGAAGAATACAACGACGATTTGAAACGTTTAAAAGAAGACGAGGAGAAAAGAAAACAACAAGTAAAGTGTGTTAGAGAAGAAGAAATTCGCGTAAAACGAGCAAGAGAAACACAGTTGGAACATGTTAAAATGAAAGAACTTGATCAAGAGTTAGAGCTAATTCGAAAAGAAGAAGAAAGGCTACAAAAAGAAATTTTGAGAATTCAGCAAAGACAAGGTCCTATTAGACCACCTCGAAGTAGATTATATCTTTAATAATTTTATAAGATTAATTTTTGTTGCTTAGTTTTAACATTGTTAGCTGTTGTTGCACTTTTTGATGCTACTGTTTCACATAACAGAAATACACCCAGCGGCAAATTTAACGGTACCGTAATAAATCAAAGATATTTCAAAACTATTTTACTTTAATATTTTAATGGAATATTTTAATGGGTTTAAAACATTTCAAGATCTGGAAGAATCGAGATTATTTTGTTAATATTAATAGTTCTTAGGGACTGCCCTCTTGTCCTTATGAAATCTGTCTATCGTTGGTTAAGATAAATTTTCTCATATTAAAATTATGGCTATTCTCGCATATTTCGTGTAATCTAGACATACATTTTGTTTACAAGCTGTCTGCTTAGCATATCCCAGGGTTGTTTTATTGCATTCAAGTTGGCAAATACGTAGTCTAGCTAATCTTAAAACCACGTGAATGTGACTATTATTTTGAAATAGGGAAAATGTACTATATTTTATAAGGCAAAAGATCGCATGATCTTGCTGTGCGTGTATTATCTATTTGTTTATCTTTTAACTATCACGAAAGCTGATTTTCAAAATATTTACCAATTCTAACCAAAATTGGTGACTGTTACTTTGTTACTCTAGTTCGATGACTATAATTATCAAGGCGTTATTGACAGCAGATTTAAATAATTAATGGATTCAATTTTCCATACCATTGTCTTAAGCCATACCATGTTCTTCTGCCAGGATCAGTTTTATACTGGATCTCCATCGTACTCTGTATGATGCAATACAAACGTTCATATTTTTCATGGTGCCTCATAATGTGACCGATACATTCCAGCTTGCGTCTTTTTATTATATTGACCAGTTGTGTTGTGGGGTTTAGTCGTCTCCTTTCATGCGACCTCCTCAAGATTCTCCTCATTTCTGATTCTACCGATACAGCTTATGTTTAGTTATTGTCTGTATACCATTGTAGCTCGAAAGTCGATACTAAGGTCGTGGCTGTAAAGGACGTTTCTCATTTTTGCAAACATTACTCTGGCCGTTCTATTCAGCTTTTAATTTCTACGCTGGGATCCGAACTCTGATTGATATTACTACAGAGATACACTAGTTTCTCCACTTTGTTCATTGCTGCATCTCTGACTCTAATACCGTCATTCTGTATGAAAGTTTGTCTGCTAACTATCGTATATTTAGTTTTCTTAACGTTAAGTTTCAATCCATACTGTTTATTTATATTTTTAAGTTCCTCACTGCGGTTAGCTAGTACTAAGGTATTGTTGGGATGTCTAATGTTGTTCACGGTTACGCCATTCACTACAATACCATCTGTTATCTCCGTTAATGCCTCTTTTCATATTTTCTCTGAATACAATTTTAAGACGAGTGTACATTTGTAATTAATGGTAAGTCTTTATCATACAGTCCAGCTATTTTCAATATTTTTAACATTTTATGTCTTCTATTTAATTTATATCTCTGCTTCTGTGTATCAGTACCTGAATACTTCTCAGGACTTCTCTCGTACCCAAGCACTCCGAACTATGTATTACCAATTCTCTCTTCTGATATCCTGTATATTCTTCTATGGATTTCTCGCAGGAATATCTTTTAAACGTGACTCATCAGAATTATTGTTCGGTAATCGCTGCATCTCGACGTTGTTTCTTTGGTATTCTGACAAATGTCGACTTAACCCGCAATCATTTTATAATATCCCTATGTCATAAATGCTGAATGCGACAGTAACGGTAAAATTCAATATATGTAAAATTTTGAGTAATTAAAATTTCTTCCTGTTTTGTGATTTATATAAAAGTAAAATTATGGTTAAATTAAAGATTTTCTGTAATTCAATGATTCGAATATGTGGTATTGGTGTTCCCTTTCACAAAATCATGTTCTCTTTGTCTATAATAACGATCTTTTTGATTTTTGAATATCTGTTTAAATTTGGTTTGCTTTTGTATACTAACATTTTATTTGTAACAAATAATAACATACGCATATTACTTAATAATAATTTTCTGGAATAGGAAGAAATTTCAAAAAATCGGTTAACTGAGCAGACATACATGCTTTCCGTATAGAAATACCATACACCACCCAACAGCTAATGTTTATTTAAAGTTTTCCAATTTCACAAGTGTATTAGACCTAGATCTTCCTTAAATTTGTCGCTGTAGTTACATTCTTAAAATTGCACGATACTTTTAACATTTTTCACTTGGAGTAGATGTGGTATAATCTCTTCTCTGAAATCATATGTGATAATTATTTAATAGAATCTCATTTTTTAGGTAATATTAAAGTAATTTATATGGAAATAAATGTATACGAGTTGCCTTTGATTAAACATTTACTGTTATTCGTTTTGTAGTAGTTAATTCCTTTTTATTTATTAAATCCTAAATATACTTACACAATATAACTCATTCGAAAAACGCCACTGGTGGTTTCATACAGATTATAACTAGGGCACCTCTCGGTTAGCACAATGCGATCTTAACATATATATTGTGCTTTTCTTTATCACATAAAGCTCCTCATCCAGTCATATTCTCGTAATGAGATTCCACAACCTTGAGGGAGGTTCTTTAATATAGAATAATGTTTTTAGGTTTTCTTCTACAAAAGTCATGCTGAGCTTGTTTCTCTTCTTTTAAACGGAACCCAAGATCTTATTCGTTCAAGTCCATACGACCCGAATGATTATTGAGTTTACAGTGTTCTGTCATCAGCCCCAGTATCAACCTGACAGTCTTTCGATTGTGGGTCAGTAAGTTGGCTGTGAATTTGACTGAATGTCTTTTAATGAACACTATCCTGTCTTTGTCCGGTAATTTTCCACCATTACAAAGATTTTTCTTGTGCCCTTTTATGAATGGTTGCTGTTTTATGTGTGTTCGCAACCTCAAACCAAGGCTTTGGTCCAATCATTGGCGCACAGGTGCCTTCTCGGACCAGTTTATGATTGCCTACGTAGCCTTTGTGCTCTGGAACCCAGGCTAGTGTCAATAAATTCCGATTTCAACCTGTGAGAGGATACCCAAACAGCCTCACTCAAGTTTTGAATCAACCTGCAAAGAACTGAGCGCTTTTAGAGGTGTCTGACTATCGGAGTAGATCACAATTGAGTCATTCTCCATTGCCAATATATTAGTTCCATAACACACCTTTGTATAGCGACAACTTCTGCCTTAAATACGGTGACGTGTATTTCCAAGCTTAACCGGATTTCTGTACTTGGTCTTGTACTATATATACCATGTATTTCATATATCAGCTTGTACTATACATACCATGTAGTATAGATACTTTCCTCTGTATCTTCATCTGTTTTGGAGCCATTTGCATACCAACTTGAATTTACCATTACTGGTGGACCCGTTTCCCAGTCTTCTTCCTTTGGTACTATGACATTAAAATGTGTATCATGGCTACACCTTTGGACTATTAGGTTTAGAGATCCGCCTTTATCTCCTGATATAGTCTTTTTTAATCGATTCTGCGTTATGTATGTAGGATCTTGATCCTGTATTAGCGCAAGCATTTTTGAACTGGCCTCTTTGTGTATAAGTATGTGCAACAATGGTAAGTTTACCAACACCTCTGTTACCATCCATCTCTATGGTCTATTCTAAATACTCACGTGACACTCAAGCAAGCAAGTCTCTGTGTGACACTAAGCAGCCGAATCGCTCCAAGCTGTTTTCGTCTTAGTCCACCATGCAACTGAACCGTAAGTTATCATGGACCTATAACTTATAGCCCGTTCAGACGGCATGTACCATACGATAATTTATTTGAAACGATATTTTAATTGAATCTAGACAACCTGTTTAGACGGCATGCACGATACGATATTTTATTCGAAATTAAATAGTATCGAACCAAATATCTTTAGCCCAGTCGCATGTTTCGTCTATCAGTGCACGTCTTCCTGACTTTATTGGTAGAACAGTTTTTTGCCCACACTGGCTGCCTTGACTAACAGAAATTTGGGTTACACTTTTTTTACATTATTTCAGTCAATTATCACTCGTATTTTAGGTTATTAACGGAATGAACTTTATCACTTCTTTCCACAGCACTGTTGATAAACAAATTTAACTTTCATTTTCAAGTATTCTGATTTTTTTGATAATGTTCGTTTCCCTCTTTTTAATCGATTTGATATTAAAAACCAGTTCAATCCCAATTGAATTATAAATACGTATAAATAATAGATACTTATAGGCCAAAAATTCACAACAGGAAAAAATAGTCCTGGCTGACTAGTTTACTAAAACACTAGTAATTAGGTCCAAAATTGTAAAAATCGAAAGACAATATTAGATAACATACAGTACCGCCATCTAATTTAAACTGAAATCCTGTAAAAGTTACGTACATAACGGTTACCATAGATTGTCTCAAATTGACTTGTCTGTACAGGGTAAATGCCCAACATCGATGCCATACTTCTATGCAAATTTTATTAAAATAAATGTCACTTCTTACTACTTAGCCTAAGAGCAGTAACAGATGACAAGCGGTCGACGCGCCTTCAGAAACAGCGCGGTTGTAACTCACTAAGAAATGAAGCTGCTTCTGGCTGCTTATTCACATGAAAACGCGCCTTTCGAAAAACGCGCAGTCGCCGCTGAGCAACCGCTCGGGACTTGTGTCCGCGCCTCCAACACAAAACGCGCGGTTGACAAAGTACATTGGAACACATCGGCCTATGCAGTTGGAAGGCACAGTTTGTGCAGTGTGGTGTATTTCCAGTACAATATAATTTAATAATCTAAAAATATCAAAAATATGGGCGAAGAATTTAATACAGATCAATTCATTGATGAAATTCAAAAAAGACCAGCCATTTGGGACATGAGTAGTAGTGAATATAGTAATAAAATTATTAAAAAAAACGATTGGGAGGAAATAGTGTTAATTTTTTGCCACAACGAAGATACCGATGAAAAGAAAAAAATATTAGGTAAGAACTTTTTTATTATTGTTTTTTTTACAATTCAAATCATGCTATTTTACAAGTCCACTTTACCTTCATTAACGAAATAATGCATAAATTTATTTCGTACATTGTCTGTAACTCTTCCATTGCGTCGAGTAGAGGATTGCTGTAGATTAGTTAGCGGTGCTGTATAAAGCGTCTCTTCAAACGTAGAACCATCTCTTTGCCTAACATAATTGTGGAGTACGCAAATAGCTTTCACAATATCTTCAGCGAAATTAATATTTACATCTTACGGTCGATGTAATATTTGCCATTAGTTGCACATAATACACGATAATTAAATTTTTTTTTTCGTACGTGAGTAATTTTCCACCAAATGGTTTCATTAAATTTTCCATCAGAGCAAAAGCTTCATCACCCACTATTACATAGGGTACAATGGACCCACCTGTTATTGCCGTTGGTTCAGGAATGTTCAGTGTCTTCTCCATAAGCATTCTGTACAATGTAGATTCTTGAAATACTCCCGAGTCGCTATTTTTCCCATATGCACCAATATCAACCCAGGTAAAACAATAATTTGCATCACACAATGCTAGTAGTAGTAGTGAGAAAAAGTGTTTATAATTATAATATAGTGAAGCAGACTGTGCCGTTTGGAATAACCGTATGTTTCCCATCGATTGCGCCAATGCAGTTAGGAAACTTAGCGTGTTTCTCAAACCCGTTAGCAATTTCTCTCCATTTATCTGCTGTGGGTATTTCCATTACTACAGTTTTTAGTTCTCTCCATAACACTTTACATACTTCATGAATTATTCCTGCCACAGTAGACCTTCCAATCTCATAAGAATAATGTAATTCACCCATAGAACATCCATTTGCCAAATATCTGCAACAAATTAACAATATTTTATCTATTACAGGAGCATCATTACAAAAAAAAATGGAAGAGCGTAAGGGATCACTATGTCAAACAAGACAAAAAAAAAACAAGCTGCTAAAATCGGGCTCCGGTACAAAACCAACAAGCACGTATATTCACTATAATAGGTTGAGGTTCCTGCAAAACTCAATTCAAAAAAATGTTACTGAAAGTAACTTCGGTCCAGAAGTACATGCAGAACTTCCAATATCTGAAGTGGAAAATGGTAGTGTGCAGAATTCGTCTTTAGAAGCGACTGTTTCTACACCTACAGGAGAACGTCAAAAAACCAAAAAAATTAAACTTCATCCGGCTTATCAGCTCTTTGCTAATATATTAGAAAAAAGTTTAGCACAAAGACAAGTGCCAGACAAACAGGATGAACAAGATGACGATACATTATTCTGTTTGTCTCTTTTTAAAGAAATAAAGAAAATACCCGAAAATAAACGTTTGAAAATAAAAATTGATATATATCATTTAATATTGCAAAAACAGACGCCCGAGCCAGAGAAAATTTACCCAAGTAGGTACATCTAATTATATGAGTCCAGCACCGCCATTACCAAGGTATTCTATACCACACACTCAGCAGTATTGCCCGGCTATTCCATCATCTCAACCTAGTTATACACCTGGACGTGAGACATATATTAGTTACAACGATTCCGTTTATCCTCCAAGTAATGAACAATTACAAGATATGAGTATGACATCACCAGCTTCCACAGTTGCCACTTACTCCTCACAGGAATCCGAATTAGATTTATTTACTGACAATTCAAAGTATTATATCTAGTTCTATTATGTACCTGTCATATTTTGCTTTGAAGGCCTTGACTACATCAAGTAACTCGCATTTACGTCGTGTTATTCAAAAAATAGGTCCTTTGACAGAAGCCATTCTTGAATATCTTTTTTTAGTGTTGAACTGTTGGAAATTTGTTTTGACTTTCTGCTGTGATAGGAGGCATTGTCCATCACCACAACAGTTTTTTCTGGTAAATTTAGAATTAGATATTTTCGAATCAATTTTCGAAGGTCAGTCCATCCATTTCGTTATGGTAGTCCTGAGTATTTTTCATTGCCAAAAACGTGAGCTCGGCTTCATCAACACATCCACTGGTAGATCCTGCGTGCAATAAAACGAACCGTGCACCACGAGCTGTTGGAGCTTTTAATCCTGTTGTCAGACCACGAACAAAAGCATGAACTCGCGATGAGATGTAATTGTTTTATCAACCTATTATTTTTTGACCCACGAGATGATTTCTGGTTTTTCAATCAAAATTGAGTTTCAGCCACGTTTTAAAAACACAAAATCCATATCACTCAGCAAGCGATGTAGCGTGGCCCGTGAAATCTAGTCTTTTGTCTGTTTATGAGCATCTCATGCTTATTGTCAATGACTGAGCGTTCCAAGAGATTCTACATTCATCTAAACATCTTGATGTTCTAAGGAGGCGTCTTTGAAATACTATTTTTAAAGAAAATTAAGCAACAATTTTATATTAATTTTTATTTACATTTTAATTTAAACACAATAAATAATTATCATTTCTATGTTTCTTCAACAGGAAAAAACAAACATGTTTTTAATTATTTAACAATTAATTATCTATTCTACGCATATAATACTGATCAGTTTTAAATACATATATTTTTGTTTAACTATTTGTTTACAACTATTTGTCAGTCGTAATAATTAGGAGATCGCTATTTTCCAATCGTATGTTTTAAGTTAAATATTATGTTTGTAAGGGATTAGCCACAGTTGATTGTAATGAAAATTATATTTTTAACTAATATTTGACGTTTCGATTTCCACTCCGGAAATCGTTTTCAAAAAAGATTATTTAAGACATTGTGTGAAAAGAGTATATGAACAAAATTTTTGATTGGCTTTTTTTTTTCTTAATTCTAATCGGATTTATTCCAACATTGACGTTGGATTTACTTGGCCACTGTCCTGTAGGCAACAGCCCTACTTTTCCTTGTGTGTTTCTGCATTATTTATTTCTGCATTGTGTGCGTTTGTGTATTGTGTGTTTGTGTATTGTGTGTTACGTATGTCTTTTGTATAATTGTAGATGATTGGTCTCGAAATTTCTGAATCCGCTATTTTTGGTTTATTTTTGTTGTTGACTTTTTCTTTTAGTATTGGCAATCAATGCCTGCTACGTTCTGCTAATGGGTTTGCTACACATTTTTCTTCATTAAGTAGGATGAGAGCTGCTTCTTTGATTTTTCTTCAATAATACGTTTTGTATTCTTTGTATAGCCATATCAGTTTAAACGTAGAACCTAAATTGATCAAAAAATGTTCCTGACCTCTGGCAGTCGCTTTTTGTATCATTCATTTCTCGTCAAATGAAGTAACTTAGCGTTATATTATATCATAAATTTTAAATAAATCTTTACAAATCATGATTTTGATCTGACATCATCGAAAGCTAAACTTTTACGCTTAGCCTTTAACATAAAACCAGAAAATGTCATATCGTAGACACCTACCGTACAATTATCTCAGATAATTCGACTGTTTATAGGAAAATATTAACAGTTTCCCACAAATTCTTACTTATATCTTATAAAAGTTGTGTTCTTGCAGCAATTGTCAAGATATTGACTTTAAATTAACGTCATTTTCTAATATATGGTTACTCGAATTTATGTAACTATACAAAGATTTTGTCAAAATGTAGTTACTTTTTATATCCATAGTTACTTCATAAAATCAACTAATTACTTATTACCGTATTGACTCCGAAACCTTTTTTTGACTTCCTTCATTCGGTTTAATATTTTTTACAGTTAAATGTAGACTTTTCTTTTTTTGTTTATGAAGATATGAAGCAATACCATATCGCCCATATCGTCCATATACGCCATAGCACCGCAAACTTGGAAAGAACACTTTAAAGATTTACTAACAGAGACAAGAGAGCCCTTGAAACAGTTATGATCTACAAGGCGTCAGGCTGATAGGATCACCATTCAGAATAAATAAGAGAGAAGTCGAAACCGTATGCAGACATGTAGCTCCGGAACTCATCAAACATGGACCCAAAATACTAATTCAACGGCTACGACAACTTTTCCAGGAATGCATAAATAAACATGAAATACCTGAGGAATGGAAAGAATCGCATATGAGCACCATCCATAAAAAGGGAGATAAATCGAAACCTGAAATCTATAGAGGAATTGCAGTTAATAGTAGTATAAGCAGAATATATGAGAAAAACATAAAAAATCGAATAGAAGAAGAATACCGAGATATGGAAGCCAAAGAACAGGCTGGTTTTCGTGCAGGTCGATCTACAATAGACCATGTCTTCTTTATTACTCAGATAATTGAAAAGAAAGTTGCTCGTGGTCAAGAAGTCCACCTGACGTTCGTAGACCTTAGAAAAGCATATGATAGTGTCCCGCTAGATAAATTATGGGAGGCACTGGGGAAAACAAATATAAATATAGAATTGATTGCAGCGGTAAAAATGTTGTACTACCAACAAACAACAAATATTAAAACAAACAACAAGATTCAAAGTGACTAAAAGACTAAGACAAGAATGCTGTATAATCCCCAACATTATTCAAAATATACCTCGAAGCAGCACTCAACAAATGGAAGAAAAAATGTACGAATATGGGCATACCACTAATGGACTTAACTTTGTACACTCTGTGCTTTGCGGATGACCAGGTCATCATCGCACAGGACTTTGAAGACCTTAGTTACATGATGCGAAAACTATTAGAAGAGTTTACAGAGTGGGGTTTGAAAGTGAATATGGAAAAAACTGAGTACATGAGTATCGGAGGAGATCAACATAACCTTCTCGTAGAGGAAAATCGAGAGATCAAACTATGTGACGACTACAAATGCCTAGAAGTAAAGATCACTCAGGACGGAAAATTAGATGCAGTCATTAAGGAATGAAATTTACAGGGGAGGAAAGGCATAGCCTTACTAAACAGCCTACTGTGGGATAAAAACATCTCGAAGGAAAATAAAAGAAGAATATACAACACCATAATAAAAAGTATCATTACATATGGATGAGAAGTGTGGTCCCTAAAAGACAGAACGGAGAAAATGCTTAGAGCAACAGAAATGGACTTCTGGCGCCGTTCGGAGGAAATCTCTAGACGTGACAGAATAACAAACGAGAGAGTCCGAGAAATCATGGGGGTTATATATAATATTGTTGATGACATTAAAACGACACAACTCAGATGGTACGAATAGAAGAAGTCAAATCAGGGAAATAACTGGAGGCTGATCTATGGAACGATAGAATGAGATGTAAATTGGAAATCGGAAGACGTCGAAGAACGTTGTAAACCGACATTATGTATATGAAACAATCATTGAAACGGTAATTCTCCTATAACATCTCGGTCGATTTTCTGTTTTGTAGTATAACTGAGCTTTAATTTGCCAGTTCTTTTAGTATATACAACATTTCAGATATGCCAGTCTATATTTAATTGACGTTAGCTAATGGTGTTTTTTATCTATATTTTGTTTTGTTTGTGTGTCATTAAATAATTGTGATATTCTAGCTGTGTACTTTTGAGATCCTTTGCTGCTGTATTTCCAAGGTTTTTTAATGCCTATATTATCTTTAAAAATATTACTACCAGATGTTCAATAGGCAATACAGAGCATCAAACAACATCAGGAGATGGGATGGCAAACAGAAGAAATACAAGCCACGGCTGTGAAAATCAAAATAAAGACCTATAACCTAGAAGTCTTAGCTATATATTACCTGCAAATACGTAACATACAGTCAGATTTGTATACAATAATGAACTCCCGAGGAAGTAGATTCAGCATCTTAAATGCGAAACATAGATACTAAATGGGGATCAAGATTAACCACCACTAAAGGAAGAAAGCTCGCAAAAGCCTTCAGACAATTAAAATCGAAGTAGTATCGGTTAGAAGTCGTGCACTTTTACGACTGGACTGTGAAGTGTGAAGTAGTAGGTACCGATACTGTTTTATTATTATAGAAATGAAATATGTGTACACTATTATAAACCAATAACTTTTCGTTGCTGGAATTTGTCCCTTTTTTGGATTAGAAATGAAAGCTTTGACTTTAACGGTATTTTGCACATTACCTAAATATTTTCAATGGGATTGATTTAAAAATGGTAGGTGACAGTCTTAACATATTATGTCCAACACTATGTATAATCTCGTCTACTATAAATAATTCTAGCTTGAAAGAATTTTGAGGAAATGAAACATTTTTATTCGTTAACCATTCTTTTATTTTATGTACTATCCAGGAATTTTTTGGTACCTTATTTAAAATTTCTGAATGGTATGGGACATTATCCAAAACTATAACATGGTTCACACACTTGGAATCAGTTTTACTTAATATGTCTCTTTCCCTCAGTATCGGTGTGTTTTATGGATTTTTATAAATCTCTCGTCCTGCCAAATCCGTTTTACTCCGTTTTGACTCCGTCTCTACAGAAACACATTCTTTCTTTTTACGTATTTTTAATATATCTCGAATTTTAAACTCACAACCATCATAAAGATCTTTAGTCATAGGGTGTACATTTGTTCTGTTTTTTATTACTGACTGAGTGTTGTCTCACTAATACCCAATGCATCACACGTACGTTTATGTACGGATTAAACTGGTTGTACGGGGCCTCCATTGGCTTTTTAGCAGTAAAGTATTCGTGCAAATTAAATATTACTTGATTTACATCTAAGACACGTCTCGTCATTTTCGCTGTCAATATACAAACTCTTTCCAATCACAAGTCTTTCTATGACAAACTTATTAGGGTACAATTCATTTGCAACCGGTTTGGAAGTATGGCTGAAGAAGGAATCGTTTTTTCCGAATGGTCAAATACCCAACTACAGGCTATGAGGGATTCAATAAATACCTACACTTATATTAATTTCTCAGAGCTCACTGATTAGAACCACATTAAATTCTAGGTAATAACTAATCTGATTCAAACGTGGAACTGTCTTTAACGCTGAGCAAAAAAGGTAAAACTGCCAGGTAAACAAACATTTCCGCGTAAAATATGCAGTTCGGATAAATTAAATCAAAAGGATTTACTGTAAATGACGTCTTATTAATACTGCAAAAAAACTAGCAGGATTTGTTTAATTCAGTTTAGAAATTACTTGTTTCATATTTTCATTTTCAGAGGAATTTATCTTCTTACTTCTTATACTGTACAGTAAAGTGGAATATTTGCTATTATCGAGTTTCTAGCGATAATACAAAACAGACGCAAAATTTTTTGTGAAATACAGTATACCTTATACATTGTAAAATCTATTTCAGCTTTGAATAAGGTCAATTACTGATATACAATTATAATAAAAATCAAAATCTGCAATAATAGGAAAGAAAAGATTATCCAAATTTGCATGAACAACCTTGACATTCGTCGGATTGGCAAATTTTTGTGTTTTAAATTGACATACGATGAATTACCCAAATTAAAAACATAATTCGTACCTGTTATGAACACGTCTACTTCCATTTTGTTTAGTACTTTTTTTTTAATTTTACAATAAACGACTTCATATTTCTTTGTATTTAAAAAATTATTCCAGGCAAAACATCGTTTTGCTTGAGAAAATATCGGAAGATAAAATTTCCGATGTTCTCTACATCGATCTGAAAGTTTGCACAAATAGTCATAAGTTTGTAAACAAAACAAACTGAATTTCATTTTACCCAACTTTCTGTTGGTACTCGACCTGTTAAACAAATATAATAAAGCTTGCAATTATTGTGACAAGTAGTCTTTTAAAATTAATATTGTATCTGAAGTGTATTGATCAATATATAAATTACAATAATTGTTACAAGTTTCATTTTTATGTACAGTTCATATTTAAACCTTATACTATATCACATGCTGATTGTTACTTCGTCTAATTGTTTCTTAATATTCTCTAATTTTTCCATATCACTATTTGAAGTGTTACATTTGTAAACAACTAAAGAGTGATAAAAGTGGGCAGCGAAAAGAACGAATATTATTAAAACAGGAATCACAATCACCGTTGCAGCAACAGCAGCTGAAAAGGAGTAATCCCAGAATTTTACCCAGCACAGGATTGCAATTTCAATTAAGAACAGGAACAAACCTAGAAAAAAAGAACAAAATTAGTATCAAATAATTAGGTATATATTACTGCTTGTTATTGACAGTATTGAAATTTCAAGATATATTATTTATTTTTTGAAAATACGCCGAACTTACGATAGTAACTAAGATCGGGAAAAGAAAGAGTCATAATATCTGACCATCTAACGACAATTAGGATACCGTATTCACATTTGAAGAGCTTCAAATTAGTATGGAAATGATTAGAAAACTTATATAACATAACCTCGCGACTGCAATTTTGACTTGAACTTAGAATAGAAGATAACAGGGTGACCCTTAAAAAATTGTACAAAAAGAAACCGCAGATTCTACACTTTAAAATATTACGATTTAAGCCAACTTGCTTTAATAAAATGTTGATATTAAAAAAGATACAGGGTGTTAAAGTGGAAATTTAAAATTTTATTTTTCGCTATAACTTTCATGTTTGTAAACATTTATGTATAAAAATTTACAGCTGGGTATTATTAAATATCAGAAATTATAATTTGATGCATACTTTAATATAGCTAATAGAGGGCGCCACATATGCCACATATGTGGCATACATTTGCAAACTTTTTTGTTCTTCAAGTTACCGGTATTTTTGATAAAAAAATATTAAAGATACATTATTTTAACAAAAAAAAAGGTATACTTGTTAATAACTTCAAAACTCAACAGTTTTCGAGATAATCGCATTTTACAAATCAACTGCATAATTCTGATTTAACGCAATTACTCCAAGCAATGAAAGAAAAATAGATAAAAACATCAATACTTCTGAATTTTGTTATAAAATACCTTTTCCGCAAATCGCCAGGAAATTTTTACATTCCTGTCAAAATTTCTTGAGGAAAAAGTCAGGACTTTCTTACTGTAAGGAAATGTCATTTCCTTACTGTAAGGAAATGATATTTCCTTACAGTTGTTAGTGTTCTACATAAATGATAGAAAACACATTGCTTATAAGGAATTAATTTATATTTTGAAAACATCAAGTCATTGCTGAATACATTTTTAAGATCAATTTGTTATATTTACAGTAATTTGACAGTTAGTACAATTATTGAACATTGGAGGAACACTCTTAGAACTATGAGAAACATTTTGGACAACATGCAGGGTGGAAGTATCATTTTGTTGAATATTTTGTACTGTGAAAATGCATTTTCGTACTTTTCTCTTGATTTCTTTGGCAATAATTCTAATGAAGCAGTATTCACTGCCTCAACCAGCTCTGGAGGAGTCCAAGGAATGGAAATTTCATCATCACTTATCATTTTACTTTCGATAACACCAGCAATTAAATTTATAAGCGTCAAGTTTGACAATTCAACCTCAATACGTTTCCATAGTAACCCAAGTAATTTTATTAGGAATTTCAAAGCACCATTTATTTGGGAATAAAATTATCGCGTTTTTTTTAAATCAATCAATATCTGTCGAATTTTAAACGATTTGCGGAAAAATAGTATGTTTACCTCGTAGGAAAAGTCACATTCCTGGACTCTGTGTTGCTAAGTCTCGGCTTTCGCCTCGACTTAGCAATCTTCACAGTCGTCCAGGAATGTTAAGCTTTTCCTACCCGGTAAACAATGTACTATTAATAAAGTCAATAGTTAACGAAATATTAAATAAAATAAATATATCAGCAGGATAATTATTAATAGGATTTGATAAAATAACAGAATAATTGGATTTTACATCGAACATTTTACGTTTTGTATTAAATTAAAGTCATAATCAAAACATTTTATTTACAAACCAAATTAAGAAATAGTTAAACTAAATAACATTAAACTTTTTTTCAATGTAAGTGTTCGATATGTCCACCATTTTCTTTAATTCATTTGTCAATACATTCCATAAAATATCGTCTCATATTAAATAACATCTTGGTTCTAAAGAAACTGCTGCAGCCTTTATTATAAGTATAATAATAGGTATTCTTTTGGGATTTTTATGAATTAAATAATTATATTAATATCTTACCACATGGCCAAGGAATACTACCACGAACAATCCAACGTTCAAGAAAGTTGTTTTTAAATATTGTTCTCACTCCTCTTTCTCTTGTATGTATTAGTAAATGTATTAGTAAACCACCTTGTATAAACCACATATTTAGTCTTAAGTTTCATGACAATTCTTCCAATAAATCAACAAAACAAAATCATTTTATAAAACATGCAAATAAATATCCCCATTCAAATTGAAAGGTAATTCGCATATCCGTAAAATATCATTAAAAATTCATATTTAAAATGCATGTCCTATGGTTTGAAACCATTCGTAATTATTTTTTACGAATATGCCAATTACCTTGCAACTTAAATGTCGAGATTTATTTACATTTTTTATAAAATGATCTTATTGGTTTATTGGAAGAATTGTCATCAAACTTAAGGCGAAATATGTGGTTTCTACAAGATGGTACACCATTACATTACAGAGAAAGCGGAGTGAGACAGTATTTAAATACAACATTCCTGAAACTTTGGATTGTTCGTTTTAGTTATATTCTTATGGTGAGATATTAATATAATTATTTAATTCATAAAACATTCAAAAAATTACTTATTATTATACTTATAACACTTTAATTCAATACAAAACGTAAAATGTTTGATGTAAAATCCAATTATTCTGTTATTTATCAAATCCTATTATTTTATCCTGCTGATATATTTATTTTATTTAATAATTCGTTAACTATTAACTTTATTAAAGATATTTTATACCAAAATTCAGAAGTATTGATGATTTTCTTTTCGTTGCCTGAAGTAATTGCGATAAATCAGAATTATGTAGTTGATTCCTTAAATGCGATTATCTCGAAAACTGTTGAGTTTTAAAGATATTAACAAGTATACCTTTTTGTTGTTAAAATAATGTATCTTTAATATTTTTTATTAATAATACCGGTAACTTGAACAGCAAAAAAGTTAAGTGCAAATTTATGCCACATATGTGGCATATGTGGCGCCCTCTATCAGCTACATCAAAGTATACATCAGATTATAATTTTTGATATTTAATAGTACCCAGCTGTAAATTTTTATACATAAATGTTGACAAACATGAAAGTTATAGCGAAAAATAAAATTTTAAATTTTCACTTTAACACCCAGTATCTTTCTTAATAGCCCGAAGATGTGAAAATATCAAAGCGATAAATTGAGACTATTATATAAGGTGGATGTTATAATATTCTCCATTTATTTGGTTGTAGATTTTCTTTCACTACTTTGGCATATGAGGGCGAGCATTATCGTTCAGAAGAATGGCACAACGTGAGAGCTTCCTTGGACGTTTTCGTTTTATTGCTTGATGGAGCATGTTCAAAGTTTCATTATACAGGTGTGCGTTTAAATGCACTCTAGGTTCTGAAACCTATATGTGCAAGAGTCCTTCTTGGTTAAAAAAAATGTTAACATGACTGCCTGCAGAAGGTTGAACATTAAATTTCTTTGTGAAGAATTTAGATGTTTCTATTGCAACGATGACGGCTTGCTGGATGGTTCAATATAATTACAGCAAGATTCATCGCCAGTCATTATTGACTAAAACACGTTATTACCGTTTTGCCTGTATTACCTGCGATGTATTCCAAAGATAAATCCATTCGCAAGGTTTTTTTGGTCCTCTGACAAAAGGTGAGGAACCCATCGTGCACAAACTTTGCTATAACCCAGTTTGTGTACGATCATCATCATCATCATCATTCAGCCCATACTCGTCCACTGCTGAACATAGGCCTCCCGTAGTTCACCCACAAATTTCTGTCCTGAGCCGCCTGCATCCAATTTTGATGTGTCCGTTTCCGGTCATCCGTCCATCTTGTTGGTGGTCGTCCTCTATTCCTAAAGGCATCTTGTCTGGGTCTCCACTCAAGAATGCGTTTTGTCCATTTGCCGTCCTTCGTTTTCGCGACGTGCATTGCCCAGTTCCATTTTAAGGTTGATATTCTTTTGATTGCGTCGGTTACTCCCGATCTACGGCGCAATTCTGTGTTGGGTATTCGGTCTCTCAGGGTTAATCCCAACATGGACCATTCCATTGCCCTCTGTGTTGTCCGAATTTTGTTTGCGGACGTCTTAGTAAGTGTTAGCGTCTCCGCACCATAGGTTAGAACCGGCAGCACACATTGGTCGAAGACTTTTCTCTTCAAGCAGATGGGAAAAGCTGATTGGAAAACATCTCTTAGCTTTCCATAAGCTGCCCATGTCAACCATATTCTACGTATTAGTTCATTGGTCTGGTTATCTCTACTTAAGCGAATTTCGTGTCCCAGATATTTGTATGTTGATGTTTGTTCTATATTTGTTCCAGTTATGTTGATGTTCTCACTCAGAACAAGGTTTGTCATCACTTGTGTTTTTGAGTTATTGATCTTTAAACCCACTTGTGTAGAGGCATGGTAGAGTCTTTCGCACATTTCGATGGCATGATCTATGCGGTTTGGTATCAGGACTATATCGTCCGCGAACCTGAGGTGACTAAGCTGCTCTCCATTTATGTTTATGCCTTTTCGTCTAGGTTTGCACGCTTACACATGTATTTCAATAATGTTGTAAACAGTTTTGGTGAAATGGTGTCTCCCTGTCGAACTCCACGATGAATGTTGAACTTGTGTGTATCTTCATGGAGTCTGACGCATGCCGTGGCATTATCATAGATATTTGTGTACGATACTATGGACAGATTCTATACTCACATCAACATTTTATGAAATTACTCTGAATGAAATTAGACGATTTTCTCTAATTATCATGACCATCTTCTTATAGACTTCCGGCAAGCATATGATAACGTGTAGAGAAATCAAGTATGGAATGCGATGGCAGAGTTCTCAACACTCAAGAAACTCATTCAGATGACCAAAGCTTGTAAGGGAGTAGAGTATCTAAAGTAAGGGCGGCCAATAAACTATCCACCAGTTTTGAAATAAACAACGGATTGAAGCAAGGCGACGCGCTATCACCGGTAATTTTTAATATCATATTAGAAGAGGCGGTGAGAACAGTACAAATAAATATCGAACCACTAACAGCTCAAGGTCTCAATTTGCTGCTAGCATACGCGGAGGACATCGATCTCATGGGAAGCTTTATGGGAAAAAGACATTTTTAATAAGGTCGACAGAGCAACAGAAAAAGTTGGACTTAAAATCAATGAAGAGAAAACCAAATACATGTGTATAAACAGAACGAAACCAAGTGATAGAATTTGACAAAATATTACTGTCAACACTCATAACTTCGAAAGAGTTGAACGTTTCAAATATCTAGAAGTCCGTATACAAAGAGGTGTCCGACAAAGCTGTCATGTCTCCATCGCTCTTTAACTTGTACTCTGAATGCATATTCAAACAAGCACTAGAGGGCGCCGAATTTGATACAAAAATAAACGATAAATATATTAACAATATCAGTATGCAGACAATACCATTCTGATATCAGAAAAAATGGAAGACTTACAAAATATACTAGATTGAGTGAATAAGTGAAGCAATGGGACTAACAATAAATCTTCAAAAAAATAAAGTAAAAATGGTTAAAAATTGTCGCATTGACACTCAATAAACGTAACACTCGATTAGAACAACTTCACAAATTCAGATACTTTGTGACCAGTTGAAGCTTGGACATTAAAATTAAATACCATGAGACGGCTAAAAGCTTTTGAAATGTGGCTTTATTGCAGAATGCTCAGAATAACAACGATAGCCACATTATGAGAAATGATAAGAGAACATTTTGATATAGTCATCGTAAAACCTCCAGTAATGGAGTGCACCAGAAGAAGAAGATCTGGATCTTCAAAACGTCCAAATGAACATTTTTTCAACTGAACTTGTGGATAATTTCAATTGGTGCAGTTTGTTATAATAAGATGGTACACAGGAAGAAGGTATTACCAGCAAAGAGTACATTTTTAACTAAAAATAAAAGACGACTGAAGACTATGGTCGTCATAAAAGTAAAACGGTATATCGAAAACAGCTCACAAAAAGCTCTGGGCTCAAACTGGGATTTGGGAGAGTAAGTCAACTGTTGACGAGGACCTGAGCGGGGCTCGAATCATGCTCTGTTCTGAATCATGAAACTGTTAAATCTAATCTGCAAAATAGGTCGCCCAGTGTAGATTTACGAGATAACCAAACGGTGCTTAAATTCAGAGAATTACTGTGAAAATGGATGAATGTTATTTTTGATCAACAATTGATAACAATTATTATATTTTTGTGCGTATACATACCTAATATCGTAGAAAAAGCCCATGCAATTTCTATAAATCCCTTCATTCTTTCGTGAGGACTTTCTTTTACCATTTCGCACACTTCTAATTTTGCTATCGCTTCTATATTTGGGAGAATGTACGTTGATATCATTAGAGCAAATATATGAACTGCTACTAATACTGTTGTACATACGGCAAACAATACAAATAACCATTCAGGAACATTAGTTGGAGTATTTATTTGGAGTTCTACCTATAACACAAATATAAATACTTGATGGGCATTCATTTTATTAATAAATCAATTTTTTTAATAAACTATCCAAAATTCCTTGGGTATGAGATCTTATCTAAAAACAGTCGACTGTCGATAATTTAAAACTCAAGGTACCAGAAAAAAAGTTTAAATTACCAAGGGTTCAAAATAACAGCAGTTCAAATGACCAAGGGGTAGGGAGGATTTTTTTTTAATGTAATGCTAAAGTCTCAAATGGTTTTGAAATTTGAGAGTCACCCTCACTTCATGCACATATTTCAATCTCGAGAGATTGCGCAAAAGACTTTCCATCTATTCCATCTTCCTCAGCTTAAATTACTTGTTTTTTCCTTATCGAAACAGACTTGTTTTTTTCTTGAGCTCATCTTAAAAATCAATAATATTAAAATGAAACATTAAAATAATTCACTTTAACGATGGAAAATTGGAAGAAAACTAGAGTGTGAACTTCGAACTCTCATATAACTCATTAATGTAAACAATCAACAGGTATGTACACTGCTACATGTATGTAAACAAACGAATTTCAAATGGTAGAGAGTAGGGAAACCCTGACTTCAAATAGACTAGTTAAGCCTGACGTCGCAATGGACGGGGGTTAGAAATATTTTCCAAACATTTTGCAATTTGTGTGTATTTGCCCCATAAGAAGTTGAAAATATTGGTTTTTTTTGATTGTTTAAAGAGTAAATAACGACTTTTGGTTATGCACATTCATTCTGTACGATTGGTATTATTTGTTATTCGTGAATTTGTGAGGTAAGAATATCAAAATTAAGATATTTACTCTAAATCTAATTTACTTTAAACCGTAATTATTTTTTGTTGTTGTTTTTATCAGGGTTATTTCAAAATAAATCAATAAATTATTGAATTTATTTACGAAGTTGAAAAATATTTAAATTAATCGTTTATTATTTTATCGTTGCCAGGGATTTTATCCTTTAAAATACTAAAGATATGCGTTTTCTCGTAGTTTATGTAGTGAATAACGATTTTTAGTTCTAATATAATATTTTGCGGAAACCTTTCTATCAAATTGCCATAGTGAGTTTTTAAAAAAATGTTTTTTGAATGTAATAGTTTTTGAGTTTATTATTTTCAGATCAGGGCATATACTCGTAATGGTTAGTAAACATGTGTTAATGATATGCAGTATTACTGATTTGCTCAGTAATGACAACAAAACTACTATCAATTATTTAAACTACGAGAAAACGAGATATGTTTAGTCTTTTACGGGATAAAATCACTAGCACTTAAAAAAGAATAAAACATTAATTTAAATATTTTTCAACTTAATAATAACGCAAATAAATTCAATGATTTATTAATTAATTTTGAAATAAACCCGATAAAACAACAACTAAATACCTTGAAACACAATAAAAAATAATTAAAGTATTAATCAAACAATCACATAACCTTAAAACATGAACATTGATAGTAAATATCAAATACTTTGCTATTTTTACCTCACAAACTCATGAAAAACAAATAATACCAATCGCACAGAATGCGTATTCATAACCAAAAGTCCTTATTTATTCTTCAAACAATTAAAAAAACCAATATTTCCAACTTTTTAAGGGACAAACACACACGAATTAGAAATGTTTGGAAAGGTTTTCTAAGCCCCGCCCATTATGACGTCAGAGGATAGTTAGTCCATTGTTGAATGTCGTCGGGCAAAATATCTGTCCTCTAACTTACCTTAAAATTTCCAAAATGACCAATTAATATTGATTTCATTTCATTTATCGAGTATTTTTTAATGGACCGGGAAAAAACTTTATCGAGAGATTCAAATTCACGAGTGTAAAATTATCGAATGTAGAGTCGACTGTAATATTCTGATATCTGAAAATTTTAATTTCGAAATTACTACGTGTAGTTGATCTACAAATCTAAAATATTTAGAGCTCACTATTATTTCGGTTTGGAAGTAACTATAGATATGGTAACTTGGAAGTATTGGCAGATTTATTCAACACGGTGTACGATACGGGAATAATATCACAAGAGTGGTTGAAGTCAGCATTTATAACCATCCCTAAAAAACAAGCAGCAAAAGAGTACTCTGATTATCGAACACTGAGCCTCATGAGCCATACTTTAAAAGTTCTGCTAAAAATAATACATAAGAGAATATACGAAAGGCTAGAGGAGGATATTAGCGAAACGCAGTTTGGATTCCGAAATGGAATGGGTACTCGAGAAGGACAATTTGCCATCAACATATTGATTCAGCGATGTCGGGATGTAAATGTTGATCTACACTTGTGCTTCGTTGACTACGAAAAAGCTTTCGATAAAGTAAGACATGAAAAACTAATATCAATACTTATGAACATGCGCATTGGCAGTAAAATCATAAATATAGTTCAAACATTATATTGGAACCAAAGTGCCATAGTTCAAATTGATGGGCAACACTCAGAATAAATGAGGATCTGTAGAGGAGTTAGACAGGGATGTGTTTTATCACCACTTTTGTTTAACTTATATTCTGAAGAAATTTTCCAAAACACGCTCAATAATATCGAAGCAGAAGTCACCGGTAACGGAAAATTAATTAACAACTTAAGATATGCAGACGACACTGTGATCATAGAAACGAGTATAGAGGATCTACAACATCTTATCGAAAGCTTGAGTATGAATAGTGCTGAGATGGGAATTACTATAAACACTAAAAAAACGATGCTGATACATGCTGATTACAAAAAGACCACAAAATATACATCACCTATTAACAATCAATGGTAGCGTGATAGAACAAGTAGAAAAATATCAGTATTTGTTAACTTTGATCAATGAAACCAATGATCATACTGTAGAAATAAACAGTCGAATAGAGATTGCCAGATCAGCATTTATACGAATGAAGCCACTCCTAACGTGCAAAAATCTAAATTTGGAGATCAGACTACGTACCATTAGCTGTTATATATTTTCAATATTATTATATGGAGCTGAGACTTGGACATTAAAAAAATGTAATTTAAAAAGAATCGAGGCCTTCGAACTCTGGTTATACCGCAGAGTATTGAAAGTATCATGGACTGATAGAATTACAAATAAAGAAGTACTGGAGAGGGATGGTAAAGAAACAGAACTAATCACCACTTTACAAACCAGAAAACTGGAATACCTAGGCCACGTGATGAGGGGACCAAAATATGAAATTTTGAAACTGATAATACAGGGAAAGATTCAAGAAAGAAGATCTGTTGGCCGAAGGCAGAACTCATGGTTAAAGAATCTACGTCATTGGTATTGTAGGTCGATTGATTTGTTTAGAGCAGCAAGTTCTAAAATAAAAATAGCCATTATGATTGCCAACCTCCGTAGGGAGACGGCACTCTAAGAAGAATTATTTCGGTTAACTGTAGTCGACATCAACTTGTTATTTTAATGGTATTTTAAATGAGTAAAATTATGAACACATTTTATACCTGTAACAATAAAACACTGAAAACTTTGTTTTCAAACTTCCACAAAATTTATTTTAACTATTATCACTACAACTGTTTCGGCTGATAGCCTTTCTCAAGTGATCTATTTTTGGCTTGGGTTTACAAATTTATAGTCTCTAATGAAATAGGTTGAGGAGGAAAGAACTGTTTGTCTCAAGTTGGTCATTCAGAATTATATCTGTGTTTTTTTAATTTGTTGATTTCCATAGATTCTAACAAAGATAGCTTAAGGCCTTTATTTTGAATGTGAAGAATTTTAAATTTGTCATTAAAAGAATGATTATGATCTAGAAGGTGAAGTGCGTATGTCGAATCTGTTTTGCTATTCTTGAAAGCCCTTTTATGTTCTGCTATTCGTTTCTCAAAGTTTCTACCAGTTTGACCGATGTAAGTTTTTGGGCAGTCGCCACATTGAAGGTTATACACACCACTATTTAAGTGTTTTTTATTTTGGCTCTTGTTATTTTTAATATATTTACCTAGGTTGTTATTTGTTCGGAAAGCTGGTGTTATTCCTTTCTTTTTATGTGTTTGGCAATTTTTGTTGTTATTTTGCCTGTATATGTAATCGAGCAGAAGGTACTGGGTTTTTTCTCTGGTGGTGGAAATACTATTTTCAGGGCTTTCTTGTGTAGTTTTTGATTTAACCTTTTATTAATTGTTTGTTCGTTGTATCCGTTGTTTACTGCTATTTGCTTAATTATATTTAATTAATTTAATTAAACTGGCAGCTTATCATAGTATGTTACATAGATTAACAGAAATTCCGATGTCAAAAGACAACTTTGAGACAGAATTAAATATAATTAAGCAAATAGCAGTAAACAACGGATACAACGAACAAACAATTAATAAAATGTTAAATCAAAAACTACACAAGAAAGCCCTGAAAATAGTATTTCCACCACCAGAGAAAAAACCCAGTACCTTCTGCTCGATTACATATACAGGCAAAATAACAACAAAAATTGCCAAACACATAAAAAAGAAAGGAATAACACCAGCTTTCCGAACAAATAACAACCTAGGTAAATATATTAAAAATAACAAGAGCCAAAATAAAAAACACTTAAATAGTGGTGTGTATAAACTTCAATGTGGCGACTGCCCAAAAACTTACATCGGTCAAACTGATAGAAACTTTGAGAAACGAATAGCAGAACATAAAAGGGCTTTCAAGAATAGAAAAAACAGATTCGACATACGCACTTCACCTTCTAGATCATAATCATTCTTTTAATGACAAATTTAAAATTCTTCACATTCAAAATAAAGGCCTTAAGCTATCTTTGTTAGAATCTATGGAAATCAACAAATTAAAAAACACAGATATAATTCTGAATGACCAACTTGAGACAAACAGTTCTTTCCTCCTCAACCTATTTCATTAGAGACTATAAATTTGTAAACCCAAGCCAAAAATAGATCACTTGAGAAAGGCTATCAGCCGAAACAGCTGTAGTGATAATAGTTAAAATAAATTTTGTGGAAGTTTGA